CATAATACCCGTCTATAGCTGTAATAGCTCTTCATTCGACGAAAACCGCATTCCACAAAGGACTTGTTTCAGGTTTCTGAAGAGGTAGGAGTCGCTGGAAGTCAAATCTGGTAAATACGGTGGATACTCCAGCAATCCTTTATTTAATTTGTCATTGTTAAAAACCTTGTGAGCAGGTGCATTCCCTGATGAGAAATTAATTTGTGCTGCAAACTAGGTCTTTTCTCACATATTTGTTTATCCAGCTGATCCAAAAGGCTGCAATAATATTCAGAGTTGATTGTTTTATCTTTCTGAAGATAATCAATGCACTCCAAAAAAACTGATGCCATAACCTTCTTTGCTGATCGTTGTGACTTCACCTGCTTTGGAGCTGAACAACCAGCTTCAGTTCTTTGTGAACGTTTTGGTTCAATTTGGGATTATGGTGGTAGATCCAAGTATCATCCATAGTTTAAAAACGAAACAAGAAATCGGCTTAGTTCTGCTTAAAACGCTCCAAATTATTCTAAGAAATTTATTTTCGATTCAGTTTTTGTTGAATTGATCCCCATCTAAAATATGACGTACTCGTTCGTCTGAGATGCCTATAGCAATTTCACTCTTAGTCAAACTTGGATCTTTACTAACAATATTATGAACTTGATCAATGATTTCTGGCGTGGTTGCGGTTTTGGTCCGTGTGGATCTTCTCAGCATACACCACGTTTAAATTCACCAGCCAAAAATTCAACGGTGCGTTTTGAAGGTGAGGACTCCTTATACACTTCTAACAATTGTTCATAAATTTCTTTTGGTTGTAAACCTTTCAAAACAAATATATATTTAATATTTTCCATATTAAAAATACTCGTAACACGTCAACTTCGGCTTGTAAACAAAGAATTAATTGACTGAATGAATGTAGTATGGTTGTTGTTGTTGTAAGTTATCTCCCGCTTGGATGATAAGATATATTGTCGTCGCGGTCATCTAACGGGAGGCCCAAGAAACAGGCTGTTTCGACGGAGTCGGACCATAGGGAAAAGGGTGTTAGATGAGTTGGGTTTGTTGGGCATGCAAAGAGGTGGTTAGTATCATGCGGAGCCTCATTGCACGCAGGACATATCTTTAGAATAACGGGATCTATTCTGGATAAGTAGGAGATTAACCTGCTACAATAACCAGAACGAAGTTGCGCGGGGGTCACTCTGGTTTCGCGAGGCAACTCGAGCTCTACTTCTGCTATGGGTGGTGGTTTGACTTCTAGTACGCCAATTACTGAATGGCGGTCAGTGCTTGTCTGTAGTTCGTTGCGTCCGAAGTCCGGTCGGCGTACTGTCTGATGTCGTCGACGTAATCAAGGAATGACCTCTTGATGTTCCTAGGAGGCGGTTCCGCTTCAAAAAAACGACTGCAGGGGTGGTTTCTGCGAAACCAGCAGACTCCTTGCAGAGAAAAAGCGAGAAAGGTCGGAGTAGTAGCAGTTTACTTTTGAGCACATGCCATCGATTCCATTGCCCGACGTCAATATCGTGCAGTCATCAGCGTACGAGGTCACGGAAATTCCCGCTGATGGTTGGGGGAGTATCGAAATGTAGAAATTAAACAGTAGTGGGGAGAGGACACCGCCCTGTGGAACACCCTGTTTAATTTTTCTAAGCTTGGAGTTTTGGCCTCGACACAGTACGGATGAATGCCGACGCTCAGGTAATTCATTGTCCACCGCTTCAGCTCTGGAGGGAGCGTTGATTGTTGTAGGTCCTCAAGTAGCGTTGTGTGATTGACTGTGTTAACTGGGTAGTGCGTTGAAGGTGCTCTCAGTAAATTCTGTGAAGCCGACCCAGTTAGCTTTGTTAAAGTTAATGAAGGTGCGGTTGTCCACAGAAATAAAGTCGGGAGGTTTTTCGATCGAGATAATTATGGGCAGATGGTCTGATGCAAGAGTTAGCATAGGTCGCCAGGTTATGCTATTTATCAGACCGCCGCTAGCAATGGTAATATCGGGCGAGCTATTACAGGTGCCCATAATTCTGGTGGGGGCTTCGTCATTCATTGTGCAGAATGTCGAATCGTCAATCTGTTCCGCCAGCTCCATCCCCCTACGATCATTTGACAGGCAGGAGTGCCACAGATCGTGGTGCGCGTTAAAGCCACCTAGCACCAAACGGTTTTCACCACGAAGCAGCGCACCTATGTTCGGCTGAGATCCTGTTGGGCAACATGTAACTGGGAGGATGTATATATTGAATATCTCGAGCTCGACATCGCCTCACCGGATCAGCTATACCTTGACATTCAAGGGTAGTGTCCCTGTGGTCGATGTCGCCATCGATTAAACGATATTGCACGGTATTGTGCAGTATGAAGGCTAGGCCTCCACCATTATCTTGCTCGCGATCCTTACGCAAAACGTTGAAACCTGCACAACTCAGAAGATCTGAGCGGCTGTTTAACTGGGTTCCTTGGACCGCAGCTATCGATACGCGTTCCCGGCTCATATATGCTTATATAACTATCTCCTCGATCTTACTCTGGAGTCCGTTGCAGTTAAATTGTAGAATTCGCGTTTGTCGCAGGTGTCCGGTTGTGATCCTGGGGGTGAGGGAGGTACGTGTAGGTGGTGGTTGTTGCAGCTGTAATATACGCATGGGCGGTTGTCGCACTGTGGTGTTATTTGGCGACGCCACTTGATGGGATTGCGGGGGCAGACTCCTACAGCATGGGGCAACATATGACGCACTCCACTCACGTGTGGTGCGCAGGCCGGAACACGACAGAAAGTGACATCGCGGCCCGGGTTGGACTCGATGCCAGCACGGGTCAAAAGAATACGGAGCAACCCTGTTGCTAGGTGTTGCTCTAATGACGACAAATTTAAACTAACACTTACCGATCCAAACAGGGTTAGATCGCCGAAACAGCAGCTAGTAGTGCTATTTCTTGGTGAGACCAACCAACTTTCCAATATATATTCTTAATCTGGAGAACATCCTCTATCCGCCCATATCCACATTATCCCCGAATTCGGGGGATGCTATACTAAAATTTTCGTAAAAATATATATACATATCTAGTTGCCGCTGACTCATAGTTTTTGAGGTATATGCATTTAAAGTTTAAAAACTTAACTATTTAAAGAGCGTGTTGTTTATAATGAATTTTACACTTATATTTTTAACACTTCCCTAATTAGTTCCTTCTCATTTGTATTAAATAGGGCAAAACTAACTTTAATTATACTCTAGCAACCTGTTGCTACAGAGTATAATAGTTTTGTTCACCTAACGGTTGTTTGTATCACCTAAAACTAATCGAGTTAGATATAGGTTTATATATACTACATAAATGATCAGGATGAAGAGACGAGTTGAAATCCGGGTGACTGTCTGTCCGTCTGTTCGACCGTCTGTTCAAGCTGTAACTTGAGTAAAAACTGAGATATCTTTATGAAACTTGGTAGGCATATTTCTTGGTACCGGTATTGCAGATGGGCGAAATCGGACCACTGCTACGCCCACAAAACGCCATTAATCAAAAACAAATAAATTGCCATAACTAAGCTCTGCAATAAGATACAAGACTGTTATTTGGTACATAGGATCACATTAGGGAGGGGCATTTGCAGTTCAAATTTTTTTTTTAAGTGGGCGTGGTCCCGCCCATAATAGGTTTAATGTGCATATCTCCTAAACCGCTAATGCTATAATAAGAAAATTCACTGCAAGCAAATATTTTTAGAACCTCTACCTATAGTGTGAAAATAGTTGAAATCGGGTGGCAACTCCGCCCACTCCCCATATCACGGTACTGTTAAAAAATACTAAAAGCGCGATAAATCAAGCACTAAACACGCCAGAGACATTAAATTTTATCTCTGGGATGGTAAGAGTTCACTTTATAGGAACCGCCTTCAAAATTAGTCAATGGGTGTGGCACCGCCCACTTTTAGGTTTAAACCCATATCTTGGGATCCGCTTAACCGATTTCAACCAAATTCGGTGCATAACGTTCTTTTCATATTTCTATGTTATAGTGCGAAAATGAGCGAAATCGGACTACAACCACGCCTATTTCCCATATAACACCATTTTCTATTCCATCTGATTCTTTCACTTTCTACAATGCATATCAAGCAACAATGAATAATACGTTTAAAGTATGCCACCTTGTGACCAAAAATTGTCTAAATCGAACCAAAACTGTTCAAGCCCCTAAGTACTAAATATGTGAACCCCAGTGCCTATAGTTGACCTTCTACCGAAAATATCAGTCGATCCACAAAGAAATCTCAAACGAGTATACCATTTGACTTTGCGAGAGTATAAAATGTTCGGTTACATCCGAACTTAGCCCTTCCTTACTTGTTAAATTTTAACTTTGAATCAAATCCATTTATTCATACAATAATAAAATGGTTGTATGCGAACAAAAAATAAGTATTACCAGATTTTGCAAACGAATAAAAGTAAATAAGAAGAAAAGGATTTTACCGTCAATACAAAATTCCTAATCGTGTGATGAATAACACAAAATCTTTCAGTTGACCAAGGTCGCCAATGCAGATAGGATTTCTACGCGAAAAAACTGAGGGCATCGGGTGTTGGATCAAACATCGATATAGATAAAAAGTTATATATGTATATACATAAATGATCAGGATGACGAGACGAGTTGAAATCTGGCTGTCTGTCTGTGCGTCCGTCTGTGCAAGCGATAACTTTAAGATATCGGAATGAAATTTAATACACGTGTTCCTTGGCAAAAAAGAGACGAGTTCGTAGATGGGCGTAATCAGGCCGATGCTACATCCACAAAACGCTATTAAACGCAGTCCTATAAAGAGGCATAACTAAATTCCAAATTAAGATATAGAACTGCAAATTGCCCAATGGAATGCAGTAGCAAGGGGCACCATGGGCTAAAAAAGAGAAAAAGGGTATGGCCCGGCCTCCAAGTATTTTGATGTACATATGTATCTCCTAAATCACTTCAAATGTACAATAACAAAATTTGCTCAGGGCAATTCCCTTAAGCATCCCCACCGACACTGAAAATGGATGAAGTCGGATGATAATCCCGCCTACTTCCCATATAACGGTTCTGTTTAAAACTACTAAAAGCATGATAAATCAATAAATAAATACGCAGAGACATTAAATTGTACACTTATGATGGTACGAGAGGACTTTACAGGAGCCGGGGTCCAAATCAAAATCATGCGTGGCATCACCCTCATCTAGGTGAAAACCCATTTCTCAGGACCCACTGGACCGATATCGACAAAATTTGGTACGTAATATTATCTGGACATTCCTAGTTCCAGTACTTTATACCGCATATATCGGCCAATTTGTGAGTTATTTTAGTGAAAACGGGAGAGCGTGTTTTATTAATAACAATGTATCTTTGTGCCTCAAATAATTAAATCGGGAGAAAACTTGCCTTAGGTATATTGGTGATAGTAAGAGTACCATAACGAGAAGTATATTATTAGTATGTGGCATGGTAATAGTATGTGCTATTGCCAAAAATAGATAAAATTGGGTGTACACATACCTTAGAGCCCATATTCATACAATAGACATATATATAATAGCTGTTATTTCGGCGATCTAAATATGTTTGGATCAGTAAGTTTTAGTTTAAGATTGTCTCTTTAGAGCAACACCTAGCAGCAGGGTTGTTCCGTCTTCTTCTGATCAAGTCCAACCCGGGCACTGAGGAATTCTTCTGCTGCGTTTGCGCGAAAAGGCTCCATCCAAACTGCACCTCGTTTAGGTGCAACACATGTAATGGATGGGGTTATCTCAAGACCCCGTCACACCTTAAGGCCCATAGGGAGGGGATCACAAGTTATGTGGCCCCGTGTTGCCAACGCACAACTGCTACAGCTGCATCAACGGTCTTGCAATCTGCAGCATGTTCGCGCAGTTCGCCGCCATTCCAGTCGAGCGGCCAATAAATAAAGACCTCCACGGCCCTAAGGAGCTCACACATCATGACTCCCAGTTTGACCAAAGGTTTCAACGTTATACGTAAGAATCGCGAGCGAGACAATGGTGGAGGCCTAGCTTTCATACTGCACAACACCTTGCTATATCGTCATATCGATGGTAACATCGACCGCAGGGATACTATCCTAGAATGTCAAGGTATTGCTATCCAGTCTGGCAATGTCGAGCTCGAGATATATAATACATGTATCGCCGCCGTTACATGTTGGCCAACAGGATATCACTCGAACATAGGTGCGCTTCTTCGTGGTGAAAACCATTTGCTGCTGGGCAACTTTAACGCGCACCACGACACTCTTGCTTGTCGAAACAATCGTAGGGGGATAGAGATGGCGGAATAGATAGACGATTCCCGGATAGATAGCTCGCCGGATATTACCATCGCTAGCGGTGTTCTGATAAATAGCTTAACCTGGCGACCTATGCTTACTCTCGGATCAGAGCATCTGCTCATAATTACCCGATCGTTTTTTAACAAAGCTAACTGGGCTGGTTTTTTAACAAAGCTAACTGGAGAACACCTTCACCGCTCTACTCATTCTTACGTCATCGTTGGCGAGCATCAATTCCGCAAGGTGATCGCTGCTGCTATTGCTATCTTAATATCGGGTAGAAGAATCGGGGAACTCCGCCCAAATTTCCCAGCCGAAGCAGCTGTATTAGCCAACGAGCGGGACACCTTACGCCATGCAGATCCCTCTGATCCTCGAATAAGGGATCTCAATTTGGAGATTCGGCCCAGGGTAAACCAACATAAGTGGACAAAATGCGTAGAGCATCTGAAGTCCTACAACCTCTCCACCGGTGTAAGTAAGCTTTGGACTACCGTCAAGGCCTTGTCTAATCCGAGGAGACATGACGACCGGGTTGAAATTTAATTCCATGGCCTTGCCTCGGTCCCGAAGAAGTGCGCGAGCTATTTTAGCCGGCAATTCACACTGCACCGTTCGACAGACAAGGTCAAACGATACGTTACCCGACACCAGCGCAAAATGCCAAACGACTGCGCCCCATTTACTTTCACCGATGGGGAGGTTCAGAATGTCATCAACATGGCAAAATCGTTTAAATTCATTGGAGTAAGCTATCTCACCAAGGTCCTCAACCTACCGCTGACTACTCTTCCACCTGATGTTTGGAAAGTCGGAAGAGTGGTCCCACTACTGAAAGTATTATCGTCCGATAACTCCTTTCACCAGTAGTGTAGACATTTGAGGCCTACCACCACCTGAGTATGGCAGCCCACCAGCATGGCTTCCAAAATATGCACAGTGCCACCACAGCACTTAGCGTCATAAACGCTGGGATAGTTCATGGCCTAAACCTAAAGCCACTGTGAGAGGACGATCCTCGTAGCGTTGGACTTGTCAAAAGCTTTTGACACAGTCAATCAAATGACGCTACTTGAGGACAGAGAACAATTCACGCTCCCTCCAGGGCTGAATCGGTGGACAATGAACTACCTGAGCGGTCAGCATTCATCCGTACTATTTCCAGGTCAAAACTTCAAACTTAGAAGAATTAAACAGCCCTAAAATTTTAGGCGTGCCATTAGGCAGTATGTGCTCCTTCACTCCTCACACGACCGCGATAACTGCCAAAGTACAGAGTCGCAACAAATACCTCAAGTTGCTTTCCGGCAACTCATGGCGAATAGACAAAGAAACGTTGACAACATACGAGTACAAGACAATCGACCGACCGGTCTTAAACCACGCCGCACCGATATGGTCGCCTTAATTTAGTGCAACGCAGACGAAGAAGCTTCAGTCATGTCAGAACACTGCACTTCATGGGATGCTTCTCTCCAAGCAGTTTCTGCTGGGATGTTTTCGCAGAAACCACCCCTGCAGTCGTTTGTTTGAAGCGGAACCGCCTCCTAGGAACATAAAGAGGTCCTTTGTTGACTACGTAGATGACATTGCACAGTACACCGACCAGACTTCGTACGCAAAAATAATTTTATGCCATCCGTATAAGGACTTTCCGGATGCTCTGCAAAATACCCGTCTACGGCTGTAATAGCTTCTTCATTCGCTGAAAAAAGCTTTTTACGAAGGAATTGTTTCAGGTTTCTGAAGAGGTAGTAATCGCTGGGAGCCAAATCTGGTGAATACGGTGGATGCTCAAACAATTCGTACTATAATTCTTTGAATTTTGTTATTTTTAAAGCACCTATGTGAGCAGGCGCATTGTCCTGATGAAAAATGGTTTTTTGTGTTGCAAACTAGGTCTTTTCTCACAAATTTGTTCATTCAGCTGATCCAAAAGGCTGCAATAATATTCAGAGTTGATTGTTTTACCTTTTGGAAATAATCAATCCACAAAATTCCTCTTTGCATCCCAAAAAACTGATGTCATAACCTTCTTTGCTGATCGTTGTGACTTACCCTGCTTTGGAGCTGAACAACCAGCTTCAGTCCATTGTAATCGTTCTTGTTTCAATTTAGGATCATGGTGGTAGAACCAAGTATCATCCAGCTTTTTCATATGTAATTCCCCATCTAAAATATGAAGTACTCGCTCGTCTGAGATGCGTATGACATGAGCAATTTCGGTGAGGACTCCTCTTACCCTAACAATTGTTCATAAATTTCCTTTGCTTTTAAACCTTTTAAAACAAAGCATCCAATCACTGCGTGATATTATTTATTTAATTATTTAAACGCCAATCGGCAATATACATAGATATAATAAATAATTAAAGTATTATACAAAAGTGGCTAGGGTATTTTAGTGTAATACCTGGAAAATATTTAAATATATGTAAGTTAATATGAAATTCAGACTTGATTTAGATGTAATTCAGACGAGCAGGTGTCTCTTGGTGTTTTCGGTAAAAGCAGCGTATGTTCCTCCATAGAAATCAATTTCACCTTGAAGTGAATTTACTAAATTAGCCAGTCTATTCTGAGGACCATTGATAACATAATTTTTCTTGGATTTCGATGTTTTTAGTAATCTATTTCGCCTCAGGGTAAGACCAGCAGGGGCGAGTTCAAAACTGTTTAGGATATCATGAGCATCAGTGATGTTATTGACTACTTTGTAGAAAAAGCAGAGGTCAGCGACCTGTCGACGAGAAGACAGTTTGTTTAGACAGTAGCACTGGTAGACCTCAACAATAGAGCAGATGTAATATAGAGTTAATAATTTTTAGACTATTTAAAAACATAACAAATCAACAAAAGAAGAATTTTGGAAATTTTGGAAAAAAAAATATATATATATAATATAGAGTTAATAAGTTTTAGACTATTTAAAAACTTAACAAATCAACAAAAGAAGAATTTTGGAAACAATTACAATCAGGCATGTTCCAAAAACCGAATGAAATTGATGTGATCTCGTTTTTACAAATTTGATTAAGGTGTTCTGCAAACCGAATTATTTCATTTATTACGAAGCCTTTCTTTTTACCATCGAAACTGGTATTGGCTTTTTTAACTTCGCAGCATTTTACCGAGAAAGCAAGTTTGTATTTAAAATGATAATCGACTAAGTAATACACACATATTAAGGTATCAGAAATTTCACAATTTTTCACTACAACAGAGAGCACTGCTACGATTTCTTGCAAAGGGACGTTTTTAAATGTCCGAAAGAGGCAGGCCTTTCATTAATAAGAACCACCCTATCGAAGGAACTTAGTTGAGTAATAGAGGTTTCAGAACGAACATTGTATTGAGGACGGATTGAATTGGAAATGCATGACAATGATATAACAAAATCTAAACGGCTTTTCTTGGGAAATTTTGGTTACCTATGATTGTATTGATGGCAGGCATGTTAAATTATTTCTACAGTATCCCAGTGGCTATTGAGTTCAGTTGCAAGCTCCCTCCACGACGTTTGTATCTGCATTTTGTCTCCTTTCAAAATCCTTAGACGAAATCTTTCTTATTTTCCATAAAATTAGGTACAACTTTTTTTGTTAAATATTTTTGTGTTTGCTACAAAAGAATAGCAAAATTATGAAATATATATGAGCATTATACCATTAATCAAATTTCACACGTTAAGTTAGGTTCCGGCTACTTGTCGCATTTTACACTGGCCATTGCAAGCTCAAGAAGCAACATAAGCAAGGCCTCTTGTGCAAACTACAGGTTCTGCGACATGGAGCCGGAAACTCCAGGCACACCAGACAACACAGCAGTCTGAAGACGCAGGATTAAGATCCATGTTTCTGAATAGGGATTACATCGCCTCAATGTGCTGGATCTAAGTGAGTTTATGTGATTTAGGGAAGAGCACAATAGACCGGTGTATACGTCGTTTCTTTTTATCTATCTAAGTTAGGTATTCAGACTGATATTTGGAGAGCTAGAAAAGCCGGCTCGTTGTGATCAAAAGACAGTTGCATATCAACAAAGCGCTGAGGCCAGCCACTGTGCCTGGTTTTAAGATATTAGGACTACTAAGATGCTTCAACTTTAGTTTAACAAAAGTTGGACAGTGGAAGAAAAAGTGTCTAGATCCCCGCGTAAGTACGAAGGCAGTATCCAGTAAGAACTCCTGTCATTGCGATGAGATGAACGTTGGTAAGAACAAATAATTCAATAGACTTCTTACGTTCCACTTTGGGTCAGAAAAATATCACTGTCGCATAGGTGCTGGTTGCTAACTAACGCTTACTGAGTTCACACGTTCCAAAGGTCGGAACCCGACCCCGTCTGATGAGATTAGGTAGGGTTACCTTTGTTGCGAGCTCTTCAGTTTTACAGTTTCCAGCAATTCATGATACTATTGCTGGTGAGGTCGGAAATTCCTTGACTAATTGAGTGCGCTGTTAGTGAGACCCGCTCTGCTGTTGGATTTAGTATAGTTTTGCTTGAAAAATACTACTGAGATCTGGGATCCTGAAGCTAAAGTTGGTGGATTGCTCTTGACAGAAAACTCTCCCTCCATCCTTCCCCCGCCTCTATATCACACGTTATAATTTTTTTGTTTTAAAATTATATGAATTCGGTTTTCAGAACAAGACATATAATTTCAAAATCACATCGATTAAGTTTTTCGATTTTTGGAACAGGCAAATTTGATTTTCAACCCAAACATTGCGTTTGTATGTGAAAGTGAAATGTAGAACATAGCTGAATGTTCTTTTATACATTTATACAATATATATATGTACCCACGAGAAATAATATCGTATACACGATATGAGTCATTAAAAATATTTTTTGAGCTGCACCGAAATGTGTACTCCTTATTGATATTCTTAAGACTCACTTGTTACATAGATCTTAGTGCTAGTTATACTGAATATATACATATACCATATATACATATATGTGAGTGTGTTTACTAAGTGGCAGTTTACACAAAAAAAAAATATTAGAAAATTCCTGTCATAAATTTGGCCTTGAAAATATTAGTAGCCTTCTACAATTATTTTTTTCAGAAATTGAAAAGGGCGTAACTCGAATAGAAAGTTTGTTTTTGGTAATTTTTTCAAAAAGTTTTGCTTAAATTGATTATAATAGGCATTAAATAGATTATAATATAATATAATATAATGGATATTATCCAATTTATTGTATATATTTTTTATTTTTAAGTATTTATAACCACCGAAACAAAAAATAATTATTAAAAGGAAAGTTAAAGAAAATGAAATTCAATTCGTATAAAGGTGAAAACTTTACATAAAGCTTGCTATTCTTTTTCATAGGGCAAATTAGTATAAAAATCGTGACAAACTGCTGGTATAAAGGATTTGAGATCATTAAGATGTTTCCAAATTTTTGTAAGAAATGTTTAATCTGTTGGTATGTAATGGAGCATGTTGGGAGTCATGAAAATTTGTTGCACATCGTTGGGGAAGAATAGTATATTCGTCTTTAATGTTTGTTTTAAAATAAATAACTTCAATATTATGATGATGTTACCTGGACGAATAGAAGAGTAACGCTTAAGATAAGGGTCGTAATCTAGAAAATATGAATGAGTAAGGTGTTGTTGTTATTTTTATTTGTATAAGCAAATGTATTAAATCGCACTCCAATTGACTGTGTCCGACTATTAAATATTTATGCTCAATTGTTATGTTTTTTTTTAATTCATAAAGATAGCAATGCGTTTGACAATATGACATTGCAGCCTTCAGAATATTATGACGTGGTGAATAACTGGTGACTAAAGTAAACACTTCTTAAAGTGTTTAACAATACATGTGGTGAAAATATACGCTACAAGATTCCCTTCAGACTCATCCCAAATATGATTATCAGACTCGTGAGTAATGATATTGTAAATAGTGAAATTATGTACCTGTAATTTCATTTTATAATATAAGGCACTAGCATTTGTTTGGGGAATCAATGTTACTGCTTGCATATCCATGCATAATAATAAAAACAATTCAGGCTTGCCAATTTCAATAACGTTTTACTTTTCTTCTTTTATCTCATCGATCTGTGACTATCATATTGATCCTCAGTTATGTTTTTTGCCTCAAATGATACACAAGTATAATTTTATACAAATGCTTAGTATTGCAAATAACGGATACATTTTTATAACATTTTAACTAATTTCAATAACTAAAATGATGTTAACATTAATATAAATAAATCTATTCGAATTAATGTTTTGTGATGTGGAGCTTGACATGTTCGGCTTTACATTAATCATCATATATCAATAAATCATTTTTATACTCTCGCAACCTGTTGCTACAGAGTATAATAGTTTTGTTCACCTAACGGTTGTTTGTATCACCTAAAACTAATCGAGTTAGATATAGGGTTATATATATATAAATGATCAGGATGAAGAGACGAGTTGAAATCCGAGTGACTGTCTGTCCGTCCGTCCGTGCAAGCTCTAACTTGAGTAAAAATTGAGATATCTTTATGAAACTTGGTAGACATGTTTCTTGGTAGCGTGAGACGGTTGGTATTGCAGATGGGCGTAATCGGACCACTGCCACGCCCACAAAACGCCATTAATCAAAAACAAATAACTTGCCATAACTAAGCTCCGCTATAAGATACAAGACTGTTATTTGGTACACACACTGTTATTTGGTATCACATTAGGGAGGGGCATCTGCAGTTAAAACTTTTTTTTAAAAAGTGGGCGTGGTCCCGCCTCTAATAGGTTTAATGTGCATATCTCCTAAACCGCTAATGCTATAATAACAAAATTCACTAGAAGGAAATGTTTTTAGCACTTCTATTGACGGTGTGAAAATAGTTGAAATCGGGTGGCAACTCCGCCCACTCCCCATATAACGGTACTGTTTAAAACTACTAAAAGCGCGATAAATCAAGCACTAAACACGCCAGAAACATTAAACTTTATCTCTGAGATGGTATAAATTGGCTTTATAGGAACCGCGTTCAAAATTAGTCAGTGGGCGTGTCACCGCCCACTTTTAGGTGAAAACCCATATCTTGGGATCTGCTTCACCAATTTCAACCAAATTCGGTGCATAACGTTCTTTTCATGTTTCTATGTCATAGTGCGAAAATGGGCGAAATCGAACTACAACCACGCTTACTTCCCATGTAACACCATTTTCAATTCCATCTGATTCTTTCACTTTCCACTATGCAAATCAGGTAACAATGATTATATCGGAGTAAAACTTTGCGTGAATAATACGTTTAAAGTATGCCACCTTGTGACCAGAAATTGTCTAAATCGAACCAAAACTGTTCAAACCCCTAAGTACTAAATATGTGGACCCCCACTGCCTATAGTTGACCTTCTACCGAAAATATCAGTCAATCCACAAAGAAATCTCAAACGAGTATACCATTTGACTTTGCGAGAGTATACAATGTTCGGTTACATCCGAACTTAGCCCTTCCTAACTTGTCAAAATAGCTTTCATCGCAAGCGGTCAACTAATTCTTTGCAAAACATGAAAATTATGTTTCAGAGATAAATGTTTTGAGTTTTCCTTTGAGCTTTAATAGAAATGTGGGTGAGTCTTTTTTAAACTGTTGAATTCACAGAATTTTTTAAAACAAAGATATAAACATAAAAAAAAAAACAAAATGTACGTTAACAAATAGCTATTTTTAACCTTATATAGCGTCTACCAATAAGGATGACGTGATTTTGACGGCTCGTGGCGGCCATGTCTGTTTACAGATTTAGAACAGTTCAAAAAAATCATCTCAGTTAAAGCCCATTTCTAGCTTAATGGCTTCGTCAACAAACAAAATTGTCGCTATTGTGGTGAGTCAAATCCTCGTTTGGTTCAGGAAACGCATGGCGGCATCAACCGTTGCCAATAATAGCGAGCGTTATAACACGATGTTGACCTACTTGTTTTCTCGGAATTTGATGAAATCGACTCGGATGATCTTTATTTCCAACAATGCGATGCGCGTCCTCATGTTAACTCTGCGACTCATTAATTTTGAGAAATGGCGCAGTCAAATGGCCGACAAGATGATGCGATTTAAAGCCTTTAGATTATTTTCTATGGGGTATGTTAAATCAAACGACAAATATTCAGGGGATTATAGCTGCTGCATTGGTTCATTGGCGTGTACGGGTGGAGATATGCAAACGGAGCCGTGGTGGCCATTTGGCCGACATTTTGTTCACATCAAAAATGCCATAAAATTATATGCAAAACGAAAAAAAAATCAGAACCCATTTTGACCAAATTTGATAATTTTAACATCACGTCGTTCTGTTTGCTAGACCCTATATTTAATATATAGGTATATATTTAGTATAGACGACATGTCATTGAGCTAACATTGTAAGCTAAAGGGATTATGTTCCACTCACACTGAATATAATTGATTAAAGTGAAATTTTTTATTAGGGACTCCTTTTAGTACTTGTTTTTTTAAAAAAAAGGGCTCAACAAAAAATTAAAAATAAATTCTTCAAATGTCAAACTTCAACTTTGTTTGGTAGTACGGTTTTCAACTCTGTGCTAGTGGGGTTGACTATCAAAAATTGTTAACTGCTAACAAGCAGTTTAAATACTAATAAATTTATTTAGGAAAAATGTTAATAGAAAATGGAAACTGTGCAAAAAAAAACTATTTTATTTATAATTTCAAACTTTTTTAACCAGTCATTATGTAGAAATCCATAGAATAGTGAAAAATGTGTTGAGCTCGTGGAGTAAAATATCGAAACTGAACTAGAAAAGCTACAATTTGGAAACATTGAAATAAAATTAAGGGACCAGGTGAAGTGTTTCAAACGTAAAGAGTCGATACAATCTACTACTCCTAGGAATATACTTTTTGAGAAAAATTAAAATTTTGAAGCGTTTTGTTCCTCTTTAGTCATAACATTTTAAAGCAGGTTTTGTAACAACCACACTATGGTTACTTCAGCCCAAAGCTAAAATTATTTAAGGTAGTTTTGAAAACCGACTTTTTGCAATAACACAAAATGTTAATATTGAGGCGCTCTCGCATTGGAATAAGTTGAAAATCTCTTTATCACTGCAGTGTAAATCAAAATTGCAAAACCCAAAAAATTATTCACAATTGGGAAATTAAAATTACTTTTATTTCTTCACAATGAACGCAAACACATTTTATATATGATACGTTGCTATTGTTGTCATACGGTAAAAACTGAATGAAACGCTGTAAGAAGTGAACGTATTACGTCGACTTAAGTTTGCGATGGTCGAAGCCCTTTTGATCGTTAGATAGCAAGTTAATTTAATCATCACAGAAGCAACACCCAGCTGTATTCTCTTGATAACCAGCACATGTGTAATACGGTGTCCGACACTCGAAGTTTAACCGCTTAAAAAGGCCATAAATTCGGTTTGGATAGTTATTTTTATTTACTTCAAGGTACAGAATGTGTGAAAATAATAAAAAATTCAGAATCAATTGACTATTCTCACCCTTTTGCCTTTACTATGGCTTTGGGACGGTCTCAAGGTGAGGAAAAGGTTAAAATTAAATTTTCACGTAGTGTTAAAAAATACGATAATGACAGCATTTATTCGAATGTGCCTCTCACAACTAAGTACTGAAAAAAATGCCGCCTGGCTTGCGTTTTCGCCCCTATCGCAAAAAAACTGTAAAATATAGCGTATTTTTCCTTTGCTAGTT